GAGCCCGATGCGGGACTCGATCCCAGGACTCCAGGATCATGACCTGAGCCGAAGGCAGTCGCTTAACCAACTGAGCCACCCAGGCGCCCAAGGAAGAGAGTTTTAAATTATGATAATAAAACTGGATACATCTCTCCCATACAAGTGCTTTGGGCAGGGAAATAGCAACAGAGATTAAAATCCCAAAAGTCTTCTGAGAGAACTCTAAGGGGAGACACTAAAATAATCCTGCTCATCATCTGTCAATAATACAGATTTGACTTTAAAACTTGTTTCTTCACAAAAAAAGGTAATGATTTTGTAGGTGAGGCATGGTAGCAATCTGTATTGCTATATTTCACCAAATTAAACAGCTGAAGTCTGTGGGAGGATAGAGAAGGAAGAATAAATTCCTATGAAAGTAGTTCACTCTCTAATTTTCATTTGTTTATGTAAGTAGGCACTGGAAGAACTAAAACAAATTTACAGAAATGTTCATTTCCATATAAGATGAATCTTTATTGCAAAAGGGAAAAGGGTATCTCAATTGCAATTAAAAACCCTCCTATGGGGGCGCCTGGGTGGCTCAGTTGGTTAAGCGACTGCCTTCGGCTCAGGTCATGATCCTGGAGTCCCGGAATCGAGTCCCACGTCGGGCTTCCTGCTCGGCAAGGAGTCTGCTTCTCTCTCTGACCCTCCTCTCTCTCATGCTCTCTGTCTCTCATTCTCTCTCTCTCAAATAAATAAAATCTTTAAAAAAACAAAACAACAAAAAAAAAACCCTCCTATGATGTTTCTTCATTTGCTTATTTTGGACATTATTACTACAGCAATTACGTTTAAAAATGCGGGGACCGGAGGCCACTGGTTTATTATCACTAGAAAACAGCCAGCTATTTCTCTACCCTGTTTATCTGATTGATTCCCAACATCTTTCTGGCAGCCAATCTATCAGTTTATCTCTGCTACTTCATCACAGTCACTTCTGGCACCTAAATACAAGATCCAAATCCAGTGTTACACAGACATACAACACAGTAAACCCGTGTAGCCCTGCTCCTCTGTAAACAGCTGCCCTGAAGGCTGAGCCAAAATGGGCTCCTGGTTCCCAGTCAATGTTCTGTCAGAAGCATGGCGGGGGTGGGGGGATAAGGTGGTGGAAGGGGGAGAGGTGGAGAAGAAAAACAGAAGAAAGAGAAGAAAAAGAAAATACAAAAAGGGACGGGAAACAATGGAGTGGCTGCATCTCATTGCCCTTACCTTGTTCCAGCCACAGAAGAAATTGGAACAACAGTTCCTGGTTTTCCTAATCGTCTCTGATCCCTTGAGACTGGGGCTGTCAAGGCCACTGGGAGCAAGTGCTCACGGAAGGCTGCCCCAGAACAACAGGGGTGATCCTCTTCAAGAAAGCCCCATATGCCCTTCCGGAAGGCTGGAAACTGGAGCCGCACGATCACCGTGGGTCTGTTATGTTTGCAGTGGTCCCGTGATTCAAACACCGAGTTGGTGCAGCATTTACTTTCAAGCACTCTGTACTTCCCATATTCTGGGCTGCATTATCTTTTTTTTTTTTTTTTTAAAGATTTTAATTATTTATTTGACAGAGAGAGAGACAGTGAGTAAGGGAACACAAGCAGGGGGAGTGGGAGAGGGAGAAGCAGGCTCCCCGCTGAACAGGGAGCCCGATGTGGGGCTCGATCCCAGGACCCCGGGATCATGACCTGAGCTGAAGGCAGATGCCCAACAACTGAGCCACCCAGGCGCCCTGGGCTGCATTTTCACCACCCAAGTGCCCTGCACAGCTACTCTTAGTCATTCGTGACAAGGAAGATGGTTTTACTGGTCAATCTGGCCAAGTCTACTTTATTCAGTCTAGTGTTGCAGATCCTGTTGTATGTAAGGTAGGAATAAGAAAGTAGCCAGAAAATACAAGTAAACAAACTATTCCTGTGGCTATTGCTATTTCCCACAGCTAACACAATCACTGGGTTTTAATTTAATTAGAAAAACTGCTTTCAAAAAAGTTACTAAAAAATAAGCTTTAGCGGGCGCCTGGGTGGCTCAGTTGGTTAAGCGACTGCCTTCGGCTCAGGTCATGATCCTGGAGTCCCGGGATCGAGTCCCGCATCGGGCTCCCTGCTCGGCAGGGAGTCTGCTTCTCCCTCTGACCCTCCTCCCTCTCATGCTCTCTGTATCTCATTCTCTCTGTCTCAAATAAATAAATAAAATCTTTAAAAAAAAAAAATTAAGCTTTAGGAATATTGCTGAAGAACTTAATTTTGCTTCTCGGTTCAATTTTTATAGCTTAACTTTATGAATAAACTTTTCCATTAAAATACAGGTTTCTGTTACAGTTATTGGAGCTTTTTATTTTTCGACAATAATGACACAATATTTGTAATTTTCTTTGTGACTCGGAAAATGGAGACACGCATGAAATATTTTTGTTCTAGTCTGTTTTAATTCCGGGGTCAGCTCACAAAAGCTTGATTGTTTCTCTAGTTCTAGGGGAAAATCATAGATGTTAGGTCTCCAGGTCAGCCCACAAAAACCTATCTAACCCATAACAACATACATGAGGAATAGCCCTGATGGTACTGTTCAGCATCTAATCAGCATTTGTAATACTTTGTCTAGAAAAATGCATGCCAGAATCAGTTAAAAATGGCAGATTGAACACATTAGTTTATCTCTTCTCCCTTCCCAACCCCTCTAAAAGACAGGAGAGGAATAAAACAAATGTATTAACCCACGAGAAAGAAGAGCAAGGGAGAGTTAATGAGAGCAGATTTTCATAAATTTTTCAAAGACAGTCAGGAGATGGAAGAGTAAGAGGCAGTTACCACCCAAGTGCCCAGAGGGAATAAAGGTGAGGGGGAACCTAATTAGGCCCACAGAGTCCCTGTGAGGAGTGGCTCTGGCAGCGGCGGCTACCACCGAAAAGGGAGAAGTGGGAGGGACAGCGCCACTGGGCCTCTCCACGATCCCACCAGTGACCATCCCCCCCAGCCCCTCTCACCAGGAGAAAAGAAGTTTTCTTCTCTGGAAAAACTGAGCCCCAGAAGCTCCAGACAGAGGGCTAGGAGGCACAGAAGGCTGGGATGAGGCAGAAGGGAAAGGCGCCATGCCGATCTCTGGGAACTTCTGCCTCCTTCCCTTACCCTACACACACAATGCCAGCAGCCTGACACAAAATCTCCCAGGCAGGAGAGCAGAGGAGTCTCTCGGAGAAACTGCATGGTTGATCCCTCCACTCCCCGGAAAATATCTCCAAGTTCTGCCCTTTGAAGAGTATTCCAAATAAGACGTTAGTTCACAGCGCAGTTATAGTTAACGGAGCCAAAAAGCTCTGCTCAGGTTTCAGAGATACTCCGAATGTTTTACTACTAAATATGAAGAGAGTTAAGGATCACTGGCACCTGAGGAAAGGCTCAGACAGACCAAAGCAGACAGAAGAGGGGACCGCAGAAAGCAATGAGGAAAACAAAAGAAACCTAAGAAAAGAAAGAAAGAAGAATGGATACCCTTAGAGAAGTGAAAAGAAGATACACTCCCATAAGAACAGGAGGATGTGAGAAAAGAGTAAAACAAGAAATTAAACACAAAACAGAAAAAAAATTAAATTTCAAAAGAACTGGAAAACAGATGTACAAAAATCCTTCAGCCATAGAACAAAAAGGCAAAAAGATAACATGCCCTTGCTTATTTGTAAGAGAAGAAAAAAATCTAGAGGACAATCCAGAATGTCAAACATCCGACTAAGAAAGGCTAGGAGGACATAATTAGAGAAACAGTAATGAAAATCTCCCAAATAGAAGGACAGGAATGAGCCTACAAAAATCTA